CCTATCCTATCCTATCCTATCCTATCCTATCCTATCCTATCCTATCCTATCCTTGTATTTTTCATGCTTTTCTTCCCTTTAATTCTTAAAAATGTGGGTCTTCCCACATTTGCTATGAGGCCTGCCTTTACAAGATATGTCTACTAAATTCCAGGAAGGCTGGATAACACAGAAATGTTAACAGTATTCGTTTGTGAGAACATGAGTACAATCTAGAATAGGCCTAAAGCAAATTCTATTGCTGTAGGGATGTGCAAAGTGCTTTGTGCATGGAAGGGCTAGTTTCAGGTGGTCTGCATCACGATCCAAACGAGCATATTTAAGAGAGAAATCCTTTGGGGTGGGGGGAGAACAGGAAAAAGCCAAAGAGGTAGGCTGTAGGCAAGGGGAGGCAGGGAAAGGGCAGGTGCTAAAAAGATTAGGAGGGTGGATGGGTCAATTGCATATGCTGTATTTGAAACCAAGGATGCTGGAAATGGGGAAGTAAGGGAAGTAAGGTGTTTGGGTGATGGGATGGCTGGTGGCTAGGCCATGATTGAAGCCAAGGACATCAGCAGCTAAGGAGAGGTGGGACAGGAAGGGCTGGGAAGAGCAGCAGGCGGCCATGCGGTAGAGGAGGGGAAGAGGGACAGGGTGCACAAGGCTCCTCCCCATTTTGTTTCAGCTGAAATTCAGAACAACCAAAAGTGCTTTGGGTTTCAGTTCTACCAAACTGCAGCATCCCTGAATGATTCCAAGATACAAAACACATTTTCATGCCCACCCCTATCAAAATCAAATAATGGAAGTGTTCAATATTTAATTGTATTAAGTGATTGCACTGCACCTAGTATAGCCAATCTGTAAACAAATACATGAAAAACAAAGCTGAGTCACAAATGATCTTACGGATACATTTAAAAAGGACTCTTCCCAGTTTGCTTCCAAACTTCTTTTGCTCCTTTAATGGTTTCTCTTTTCACACATTTCCAGTAACCTTGGACTCCTTGCTGCTGAGGCACCTGTTTAAAAAAGTTGCAGTTACCAATCTATATTTAAGCTGCATTTTTTCCAGCTGGCCACATAAGATGAAGTCAGCCAGTCAAATCCATCTGCCTTGCCCTACTAATCATAAAATGGTTAAGTGATCTGTCAACCATTCCTATTGGTTCAAATGCATTTGCCTGACGGCAGGATGCATTACTTTTGGGCTGGTTAATCGTCTATAAATGAACCTATCACAACCACAAGTATTTTTTTGCGGTTGGAAGTAGCTGGACACAGAATGAATCCTGCTTTATGATTAGGGGTGATCTATAAACCACGATCAGAGGGACCAACACAGCTCCAGAAGGGCACTTCTGCGGTTTAGTTGTTCCATGATTAGATATGACATGCAAATACAGCAAGTCCTCCTTTGTGGGGTGGGCTGGCACTTTCCACTACTTGGTTCTTCCATTTAGCCATTTATTTTGCAGCAAGAGCTAAAACCCAAATTTGCTTATTTTTGTCTTCCTTCCTCATCCCTTCTTCTTTTTTATAGGGTGTGTATTCAGCAAAAGCCCTGATTTAAAAATGCTCTGAGTACACAATTACAAAGGTGGCAAATACAGCAAGTTCTCTAGCCTCCTTTTATTCTTTTACTCATTACCACCATTAGAAACTTTGGAATTAATAGAGTGAGTAAAGTATCTCTGACTTGGGGGTGCCTACTGGTGGCACCAAGGACATCTTATAATCTTTTAATTATGTATTGCCGATTTTAGTTTGTTGTAAGCCGCCCAGAGTCCCCCATTGTGGGGAGATGGGCGGGGACAAGTCAAATAATAATAATAATAATAATAATAATAATAATAATAATAATAATAATAATATTGATGTTGCTTTCTGGACAACAATGCAGAAATAGTTTGCCACTGCCTTCTGCATTACACCTGGTGCTCTCCCATCCAAGTACTAATCAGATTTGATTTGCTTAGCAACGGTATCCACAAAAGAAATTCTGTCTGAGAAACTGGGCCATGATCCCCACCCCTTTTGAACCTGCACTGTGACACTGCATCCATATTCCAAAGGGGTGAATCCAGTGGCCTGATGCTGCTTTCATCAGCAGCAACCTGTGGATGCCCGTGGTGCTTAATTTTTTTGAGATTAGCCAAGGTCAGCTGGGTGAATTCCACCAAATATGGGTATAAGATTTTGAAGAAAACAATTTATAAAATGTTAACATAATTAAATTAAAAATCACTTATTGCAGGCTTTGCAATTCTGCAATATAGTGCTTCATCTATTAAGTGTTAATTTTTTCTTTAACCAAAGATACCAAGATCCCCTTCTTAACTTTTGTGAAGGATTGAAAAATATTAAAGATACTAATTTTGGGATATGAAACAGACTATCATGGGTTATTAGGGAGCTAAGATAATTCTGTAATTGGGGTTGGTATCAAATCATAAGTTTTATGATCTGAGCTATTTTTCAGATTCAGGAAGGTGCTCTGCAACAAGAAAATATTATTTTTGATCTTCTTCTGTTGAGTTGGTATACCCTATTGATGATCCTTTGGGGTGTTACTAATTTTGACCTATTGACATATCTGGCATACAGAATGTTTTCACTCTTGGCCTTTGGTCTTTGCTTACACACACCCTGGTTACTTGAGGGAGCCCTGTCTCCCATAACATCTGCCCAGCCAATTCGATCCTGCAGGGCTGGAGTACTCCAAGTTCCTTCGATTAAACAGTGTCATCTCTCAGGACCCCGGAAGCATGCTTTCTCTGAAGCAGTATCTGCCCTCTGAAAAGAGGTTCTCTCCAAGGTCCAGATCACTACCATTCTGCTGTTGTTTAGAAGAGCTGTAAAGACCTGGCTCTTCACCCAAGCCTTTGGTGAGGGACAGTGAGATCCCTCACTTCATCGCGCTTGCTTTTTTATTTTTTATTGATTTTATTGTAATTTCTTTGATTGTTGTGGGCGGCCCAGAGTCATTGACAGTCAGGTGGCATACAAGTTTAATAAATTATATATAAATATACACACACACACACACGTATACAAACACTGCAGTAGCACAAGAGATTGTGACAGAATCTCAACACAGTGTATTGTATGGATATCCACAGCTAGCTTGTTCAAAGAGGGATGATAGATACAGCTGTATTAAGCAATTTGTATATTCTCTAACTTCTTAGACTATTATAAGTATATATACTATTACTAGTATACTATCATATTAGCTAACTCTTATTATAAGCAGCTTGTTTTAATAAGATATTGTTTTAATAAATATTTATAATCTTGATAAACTGAAATATTTCTACTAGGACATATAAGCTCTGTGTGTTGTTTCCTTAATTTATTAAAACAGTGAGGCAATTAGACATTTCTACCAAACATTTGAGAGAACAATTACCCTTAATCCACGGTGCATCCTGTTTTTGAGAACTCCAAGGAACTCTGCATGGCTGAGGCAATTATCTCCATCTAAATCAAAGATCTTGAAGATGGTGTCCAAAACGTTATCTGAGAGCTCCTGTCCTGTGGCCACTTTCACAGCTCTCTTGAACTCCGCTAACACAAGCAAAGATATTTCATGTTTCCATTAAAAATCAAAATAGCTAATTTTTGCCATTAACTAATAGAAAGGTAGTTTATAAATCTAAAGAATAAGGGATTCTGAGTATACTCACATAATTAATAGTGTGATCAGGGAATCTGTTCCCACGGCTATGTTTAAACTGCTACACAGTACTAGATTTATTGAAGAATAATTACTACTTTTTACAGAAGTGGAATCAGTTGCTTTATGGAAAATACGCAGCTTTTACCCGAATCTGCTTTTGGAGCACAGGAATTTACCCAGTAAACAAAAAACTTGAATTACAATATTTTATCTGAAATATTGTAACTCCTTTTATGTTTCTGAAGGAATAAGTTGTTTTTTCTTGGGTATATGTATTCTAAAAGATTTATGAAATCAACCTATAATTAAAATTTTCTTGAGTTTGCTTTGCTTTGCCTTTGTCTTGTCAGGCCCTACACTAACTGCAGTATAAAAAGTCACTCTGTACAACCACATTTTATGAAAATATATAGAACAAGCGGGGGAAGAAAAGGAAGATAATATTTAACCCAAATGCAATATCATTTTAAAAACCAAATCCACATCAGTTGGGGGTTGTTATGCATTTTCAAAAGAATGAAGGATATAACAGTTCTATCCTAGCAAGGGATCAACAACAGATGACGAGGGAAAGTAGGACATTATAAAACAAGGCAAATCATTTTTTAATTCTATTGTCTTATAATTTCTTATTTACATAAATGGTAGCAGCAAATTGATCGCATGTTTTCTTATTATTAAAGATTCAGCTTTGCAATAAGAAAGATTTATAAATGCTATTTCACATACTGCATATATGCATTCCAGTTTTCCACTACTTTTTGGAAGAGATTAAAAAAAAGAAATATTCGTAGCCTCTGGCAAGGAAAACCCCTACACAACTGGGCACATGCATAAATATTTCTTTTGCACAATAAAATGTGGATCTTTGTAAGGGCTCTTAAAATGTTCTTTTCTGGTTCTTTTTTAGGAGGGGTAACAATGAAGATTCTAAGTAGAGTTTTTGTGAAGCTTTGATTGGGAGATTTCTTTAAAGGTAATGTTATTTACTCCATTTTCCAAATCAGATCAATAGTTTGAAAGAGTTTTTGTTCATGCTCAAGAGCTATTTTTCCCTAATCGATTCAGAAAAAAATCCATTGATTCAATTTTCTGAATCAATTCAAATTTCTGAACTGGAGTGACAGTCTGAATGGATGATTTGGACTGAAACTGATCTGCACACCTCAATTCTAGAAGTATTCTAGCAAAGTGCACAATATTTCTTAAAGCAACTTTTAAAATATTTTACTACTTTCCATCTTAAAAACTGAAAGGACACATCAGATTGCTGTCTTTCAGTAACAAAGGAAAAAAAACCCAAGTCCACCTTGACTCTTAGGGACTAAATGGACATATCCATATATTTTTCTTGGCAGCAATGTGGAAGTGGCTCACCACTGCTTTCATCTCCCTTCCAGGAACTAACCAGGCCTGATGCTGCTTAGCTTCTGAGCCCACACATAGTCAAGGTGGTGTTGCCGCCTACTGAGATTCCAGTTGAAACCAGATAGCAATATTAACTGGATATAGTATATTTTTCCATTTAGAAACAATAAATGTTGGAAACAATTCCCACTATTTCCTTTCTGCATGCTAAGAGATGGTGATTTGCCATCTTCTAGCTGTCATAATATGTAGTGAGGGACTGACAGATAATGCATTAAGTTTAAATTAACTTTATGAAGCAAAATCTACATGATGGGGACATTTTCAGAGTATATGTACATTATCTTTTCATTCTGATTTCATGAGGATTGATGAAATAATGCACTTCTTACCCCGTTTAACAGGACGGCTGGCTACGGTAAACATTTTCATGGCAATTGAGAAATCTTCTAAACGATTTGTAAATTGGCAGAAAGTCTTAAATTCATCCATACTGATACTCTGGAACACCAAAAAGGGTGAGATGTTTAGTAAAGAGACAAAAATCCAAGTATTTTCATAAAGGATTTGTCAAATCTCTATAAAATTATTATATATAAACCATCAGAATAACTTGATTATATTTTGCTGTACTCTAGAAAGGTCTTCAGTTACATTACAGATGGTTAATCAAGATTAGTTAACTTATACCAACCTCTCCCGCTTGGATTCTCTCTTTCACATTTTGCCAGTAAACTTCATTATTTTCTTCATCAGTGAAATACAGCAACCACTCTACAAAATCTTCCTTTCTCATTAAGGCTAGACCTTTGGAAAACTGATTGAATTCCATTTCTTGTACTTCTGCTTGTAAATCCTGCATAAATCTAAAAAAAAAGAAAGAATAACAACACAGTTTAATTATGGGCAGAAGAGGGCAACCAAAAGGATTAGAAGCTTGAAAGCCTTCTCTATGAGAAAAAGCTAAAATGTCTGGAACTCTTTGCCATGGTAAAAGGCAACTGAGGTAGACATGATTGGAGTACATAAAATCATGCATACCATAGAGAAAGTATATCAAATGAAGCATACCATGAATTCTCCTTGTTTTCACACTCTCTTGAAATCCTATGGCCTGGGATCCTCCAATAAAGCTGAACAGAAGGAGATTTAGAGCTGACAAAAACTACTTTTTCACAAAGCACATACATTAATCTTTAGAGTTCATTACCACAAGACTGCTAACTTGGATTGCCTTAAAAGGGCATTTAGATAAATTCATGGAGGGCAGGTCTATCAAAGGCTGGGGAATCAGTGTTCCTTCGGTGTTGGGGGCAACATGCCTCCAATATCAGTTGCAGGGGAGCAACAGTGTGAGAGAGCTAAGTCTTCACCTCCTGCTTGAAAGCACCCAAGAGGCATTTGGTTGGCCAAAGCTAAATGTTAGATTAAGATGGCCTCTGGCCTGATCCAGCAGGGCTATTCTTTTGTCAAGACAATTATTTTCATATTTGCATTTTTAGCCAAATAATACTTTACTCATATCAGCTGATGGCATTATGTAAATAAGGAGTATCTCGGAGTGTTGTTACAGGAGAATGCAACATACAAACTGTTAGCTTCCACCTCCTAACAGCAACAACTTTCAGAACATTCCATGCTGCAAAATAACAGAACTTATGCTAAGAGTTCTATGAACTGTTGACTAACACAAGTTGAGTGAAAGAAATTACTAGTTTTTTAAAGATTGCAATCTTAAATCCACTTACCTGGGAGAAATTAATCAGTGCCATGAATAATATTTCAATTGGGAATATTAGTAAAATATTCTGAAATGTTGTGCTTGAGCAGGTCTACCACTAGGGTGCCCTCTAAATTCATCTATGGTCATGAGTAAGTAGGCTGAAAAAATATTGCTATCTGCTATTTCTTTAAATTTGCCTGAATGAGAAATCAGATTTAAACATGAGAGTAGATAAAGCACACATATGCTTTAATTAAAATCTCTTTACAAAGAGACTAATAAAATGCACTCCTGAGAGATATAAATAAATGACAAAAATGATAGATTGTTCACTATAAAATACTCTTGTTCAAACAAGCTAATGTTACCCTTATTCAACATTTTGCTAGCACATGTATCATAAACATCAATGAAATACAAATAAAAACAATAACTTATTTGCCATATATGGCAACTTAAATAAAATGTCAGTGCCTGTATCCCACCGTTGGTATGTGCAGTACCAGCTGGAAACCAGTAACTTAGGTCATAGAGCAGCCATCAGAGAAAAGCCATTTTATCTCTATTCCTAAAGGGAGAAATGGGCCCACATATCAATTCTGATTTTCCCAGTTTCTTATTTGCTAAGCCTTAAGTTTGTTTTGTCCCATTTTTGTATCAATTTATGAACTGCATAGCCAGCATCAAAATGCACACCCACATATTTTCACAAACTATTGACTGATTGATTGATTGACTGATTGATTGGATTTAGAGGCTGCCCAACTTTCAGAGACTCTGGGTGGCTTGTATCTCCAAAAGCAGGAAATGGTAAAATGGAAGAAAAAGCATACACATGTCTGGAACAAACCACCCAGCCTATCAAAAGAAAAGTAACCGAGCCTCAGCAGTACCAGTTGAAAACTGGTCCGTAGGCCTGGGAGGACTTTCAGAGACTTGTGGAACAACTGCAGGGTGGGAATTGTATGGATCTCTGGGGAATGTTATTCCAGAGGGCAGGTGCCGTGACAGGGAAGGCTCACCATATGCCTTGAGCATTAAACAATTAAACATTGTTTAGCTGAAGACCTTTTGATAAGACCTTTTCCCCAGTAGATGGCATGTGCATGTTATGCTCACAAGCTACACATGAACTTGACCTCACTTTTTTTTTTTTATAATACTGACTTGAAAAACAGCAGAACATAAATCTGGGAAAGTATAATTGTTAACATTTTCAGGATGATTTCAGGATGTATGCATTAGGGAGTTCAATGCTGAAATATTAACTGAAAAATTATCTGGGTACCTGGTAAATGAAGAAAGAATGTATAGGTAGGGCATCTCCACGGTATCAAACATTCCAATAGAAGAGAATATACAATATACAATTTATTCAATAAATAAATGAACAGGTATAATGTTTTTGATTCATTTGTTTAATTGGGTTCTTTTTATTTAATTTTAGGACTTATGTAGAACATGTTTTAGCTCATATTTATTCAGAAATATTGAAAATTCAAAAGAGTTCACAAACTTTTAAGCACCACGGTATGTAGCTCATGGTTGAACTATGGAGTTCCTGGTGCTCTTTTGGTGCTATCATGATGCTGGGTAATGAAATGTCTGCAAGCAAACCACCAAGCTCAGAGAGCACCAAGAACTCTACAATATCAAACATTACCAGTTGTAAGCTATAACCAACTCTTCCTACATCTTGAATGATGATAGCCTTTCCAAAACATTTTGTGCTGCAACCCAATCCATTCTTACTTGATATCCACTCTTTGCTTCATCTGTAGCTTGTTTGTTCTTTGCACGGATTTTTTTATAGAGCCCAGCTTTTATTTTTCTTATGGAGTTTTAGACATGTCCCACAGTTGCTAGTAGCCATTCTTGTCTCTTCCCCCCACCCCCCCTTTTTAAAAACCATTTGAACATTTGACAAACTCCAGATACTCCCTGGAGGAAACAAAACATTCCTGTTGCTTCTTCCAAGGTAAGCCAACTGCAACAGCAGTTTGATTAGGTCATTCTAGGTGGACAGTTTCTGTAAACCATTTGCTCTCTCTTCAAACAGAGTACAAAACAAGAGTAACTGCATCTTTTGCTCCCTTTATCCACTGGTCATTCCTGAGAAAACTGATTTTCTAGATCCATTTTAATCAGGGTTCATTAGTGATTTTGGGCAGAAACTAACTCAGGCAACCTGTGGAATTCTTGATGTGAAAGCAAAACATGGGAAAATGGGGGTAGAGGCAGGGTGAAAGCTTACAGGGGCATAGGCACCCATTCCTAACCATGATGATGCTAAAATGTGCATCATAATTGAGGTTTCAGCTCAACCCTGGTAAGATTGAGTGACTGTGGGTTTTGAGGCCCCTGAACTCAGTAACTTTCCATCTTTATCTCTAAATGAGGTAATACTCCCCCAGGGTTGGTACACAACTTGGGGATCCTTATGGACTCATGGCTCTTGCCCAAAGAGCAGGAGACAGCTATAGGTAGGAGGGGCTTTGTACAGATTCACTTTGTGTGCCAATTGCACCTGGAACAGGAGACCCTACTTATCGTAACTCATGCTTTAGTTACCTCTTGGCTGAATTACTGTAACATGGTCTACACAGGGCTGCCCTTGAACAGCAGTTGGAAGCTGCAGCTGGTCCCGAATGCAGCAGTGTGGGCTGTGTTGGGCACTTCATGAAACAGCATGGGGCCAGGATACCTGTGCGACTGCCTGCCTTGATAAATTTCTGGTTGCCCAGCCAGAACAGCAAGGGCTAGCATGCTCTCGGTTCCTTAAATGCCATCTGTTGTGGTGCTTACCTTATGGAACAGCACTCCCCCCGACCCCCCGCTTCCCAAGATGAGCCCTGACTCTTCTGGCTTTTTGTAAGGCATTGAAGACCTGGATGTTCCCCCAGGCACTGGGGCCAGGAGGTTAAACCAGCTCTGTTGGTGAACTTGTTGTTTGATCTGTATAGATTAATATACTGTATTGGTTTCTATGGTTGCATCATGTTTCATTGGTTTTAATCCTCTGTATGCTGTCCAGTGTCAGTGCTGTGAGATGGTCTGCTATAGAAATTGTTTAAATAAAGAAACAAATAAAAAAGCAATGCCATGATGCAAGTTCCACCCTTTTGTACTCCCAGCATGACACTGTACACAAGTAGATAAGAGCAGAGTTTGCATCATGAGGTATGTTTCATCACTTGCCCACCCCAATGCCTATGGATAAGAGGACTTGTTAAGGACTCTCTTCTGATATTCTTTGCATGTGTATGTATTTCTTGTGTGTAAACTCACAACTATCACTGTGTTCAGGGAAGTGGAAAAGAGGATGATTGGGAGGGGAAGACAACTAATAGTCAGAATACAGTCCACGGGGTTCTCCGAGCTTGGTTGTTTTCTTGCAGGTGTTTCATTACCCAACTAGGTAACATCTTCAGTGCTAGCTACTCTATATAAACAGAGAGCAAACCCCCCTCCCTTCTAGCACTGAAGATGTTACTTAGTCAGGTAACGAAATGTCTGCAAGAAAACAAGCTCAGGGAACCCCATGGACTCTACAGTTCAACCCTGAGCTACATACATTCTGTCATCATCTGCCCCCTAGTATAGAGAGTATATAAAAGCTATTGTTGAAACAATACATTCCACAGAAATGCATGGATGCTGCATCATAGCTCTGCAAGTCACAACAACAAAATACAGTGGTACCTCTACTTATGAACGCCCCTACTTACGAAATTTTCGAGATACGACCAACTCCGGCCCCAAAAATTTACCTCTACTTACGAACTTGCCTCTACTTACGAACCGGATCTGCGGCCATTTTCCCTGCTGCCACGCGGTCGCGGCTTCCTGCGGGCAAGATCGCGGTAGCAAGGAGATGTTCGGTGAGGCTTGTGGTGTGTTTTGTGGTGTTTGGAAGGTTTTTGTGGTGTTTGGAAGGTTTTTGAGGTTTAAAAATAAAATGCATATGTTTCAGAACTGTTTAGCCATATTTACATTGAGTGGTGTTTGGAAGGTTTTTGAGGTTTAAAAATAAAATGCATATGTTTCAGAACTGTTTAGCCATATTTACATTGAGTGGTGTTTGGAAGGTTTTTGAGGTTTAAAAATAAAATGCATATGTTTCAGAACTGTTTAGCCATATTT